AGTGGAGCAGAGCTGGGGGGGGGGGGCAACAAGACGCCTTTGCAAGTCCAGAGTCTGGCAGGAGGGAGCCGAAGGAGAGTTGCTGCTTTCTCTCGCTAAAGGCAGGGCGGGCGAATGGCTTGGTGGGTCCACCTAGTGCGGCCCCTCGTACAGGGTTAATGGCTGCCCCAGTTGTTGGACTCGAACGACAAGGGGGCTGGACGGAGCAGACAGCCAGGCGGCAAGCGATCTCCGCTCCGCGCTGTGACCCCTTTCAGCTCCCAAAGCCCTGGAGGGATCAGGCGAAGAGCCTTCCGGCACTGGACCCACACAACATTCCAGCTGGCCGTTTCCAGCAGGGGAGGGGAACTCGGCCCCTTTGGCGCCCGAGGAAGATAAAAGCCCAGCGCCAAGTGAATCCCCGGGAGATTCAGCCTCGAACGCCGAGGGCTTCTGCTCCCACGTCCTGGCACACCCGGAGAGGCTCCCCCCCGCCCACTCAGCCAAGGCCCCCGCTCCATCCTCAGAGCCGCCCCCCACCCAGAAGCCCAGACTCACCGAGGCTTGGCGGTGCTGCCATCGGAGTGGGACGCAGGGCGGCGGCGGCGGCGTCTCGGAACAAAAGAGGGGACGGGACGCGCCTACAAGCGGACCGTCCCTCCATCGCCCATTCAACCTGGCGCCGCCTCCGAACTTGCCCAAAGTGGGCGGCGTGCATTCATGTAGGCATTTATAAGCCGCCCGACTCCGCCGGCGAGAATCCTGGCGACTCCCAGCCGAGGGGGGGGGGCGGGGGCGGGTAGGGCAGCGTTGGGGCCCTGCCCATTCCAGCGAACCGGGGGCTGCAGGGGCTGCACCGCAGAAGCGCCCGAGGAGACGACCTGGCGCTGCGCCTGAGGGTCTCCGTCCGGGCACCACCACCTGTTTCGGGGCGGCCGTGCCAGGCCACTTCGGGCCAGCGCTACCCTCTTTTCTGGGCTTCCCGCCGGCCAGACTCGGACGAGCCCCCGAGCGGGGAAGACGAAACCGGCACTGATGCCAACAAGTAAAGCTCTCTCTACCTGACTCCTCCAAGCGGCAGCCGAAAGGCGTCGGGCGGCCGCGGACCGGAGTCGGGCGGACTGGGACGGCGCTCAGGGCTCGGCGGTCCTGGGCAAAGGCAGCCGGCGGCACGGCTCACCAGCGGGCTGGCCAGCGGGTCCCCGGGGGCTTCGGGATGCCACAGCGCCCGCTCGCTTTGGGGTGAGTCGCCGCCTGCAGACCCGGTTGAGCCCCCGCTAACCAGGCAGATTCCCGGCAGCGCAAACACTTCTCCCTCCTGGAACGCCGAAAGTTGCGCTTGTAGCAGAGGAGGTCCCCGCGGCTCAGGCCCGTCCCGTCCCCTGCTCCGAGTCTCCGCGCTCCCAAGGCTGCCCGCCCAGCTCGCAGGCCCCGCACTGCCCACCCTGCAGAAGCCACGAGGGTTGCCGAGCGGCGGGGCGCTCCCCAAGGCCGGGTCGGGCTTTCGCAACCCGCCGCGGAGGTCCAACGCGCCGCCGTCGGCTTCGGGGGTTTGCGGCTGCTGAAGCTGCTCGGGGGCGCTGCGGGCAAAGCTCCCGGGGCACCAGTGCCGGGCCGTGGCTCTCTGTCCGAGGGGGGGGGTGCGTCGCCATGGAGACGGGGCGGCCGCGGAGCCAATGGCGGGCGTCGCCGGGGGACGGTTTGTCCGCCGTCACACCCCGCGGCTCCTCCCGCTCCGCGGTTGCCCCTTTCGCCCCCGGCCCTCCGCGCTCTTGGCTCCCCGCTGCCCTCGGGCTTGCTGCGCTCCGCTCCGGGCGACGGCGAGTGGCGGGGCCGGCGGGCTCGGGGCTCCGGCAGCCCCGCCATGGATTTAGTGCTGCTGCTGGGGGGCTCGGTGGGCGCCTTTCGGCTGCTCAACACCGTCGTGGAGTGCCTGGTGCCGCCACCCTCTCGGGCGCAGCGCCTCCGCTGGAAGTGGCGCAATATTTGGACGTCGCTTGGCCACAGCCTGCTGAGCAGCTCCTGGGCCCTCCTCGGGTGGGTGGGGGGTCGCTGTCGGGGTGGGCAGGTGGAGCCGCGCCGGGCGAGCACTCACAGAACTCCGCTTTCTCCGCCGCAGGTTCTACTTCTACCCCTCGATGGGCGAGGATCTCATCGACCAATTCTCGCCCTCCGCGCACTGCTTGCTGGGCATCTCCATCGGTAAGTGCCTCTCTCGCCCAGACCTTTCCCCGACCAGCCACCCCCGCGAAGAGCAGGGCAGGGCGGAGGTAAGAAAGGAAAGCGCCGATGCCGCCTGTTAGCTTCGGGGTGCTTGAAGAGGCTCCTACGGCTCAGGGATAGAGCTGAAGCACAGAAGCGCCCCCAACTCTGTCGCCAGCCGCACCCCTCTTTTCTCCCGCTGGAGGGGGGGGGGCAGGCCAGCTGCACGTTGCCGGCCCTGGAGTGCAGCCTCCTCCCCGCTTCTGTGCTGGCATCTGGCGGAGGAGGGCACTGGTGCCAGGCGAGCCCCTCGCTGTTCCCTTCCTTGCATGTGACCGCGGGGGCACACAATCGCTCCATTTTCCTGCTCCGTGGCTGCCTGAGACTGCCCCTTCCTCTTGAGGGAAGCTTACAACTTGGTCTGCCCCAACACCCCCCCCCCCTTAACTGCAACAAAGGAGTAACAGAAAGGATCCTTCTGTAAAGTTTACTCCTCCAAGTGGGCTGGATTGCGGTTCCCAGGAACTCTAGACAACATCGGGAGGGGCGCGATGGGGAAAGACATCCCCCCCCCCACCTCCTCCAGCACAGCAGGCAGGGGGGTGCTGGGGCTAAATCACCAACTGCTCTTCCCCGTTGGAGGCCCGGTCTGGGTCTGGGCAATGGGGTGAGTGGGGATGGATAGTCAGAGTGGTGACTTAAGTCTACCTGTCTCTGGCGTTGCACACTGATCCCTCAGCATGGGGACGGGGATTCCTAGGGAGTCCCAACTGTTAGCTCAGCCTCTGCTGGTCCCCACTTGTTGCTGTTCTGGGAGAGCCTGAAGGCCCTGCTTGAAAGGACAACTGACCAACATGGGAAGAGTTGCACTGAGAGCCCCATCCCGTCCCTTGCACTTCACTGTACACACACACACACACACACACACACACACACACACACACACAACCACACCAATCGTCTGAGCTGAGCCAGAGGTTTGCTCAAGGGTGCTGGGAGGGGGGAGAGGTCAGCTGAAGAGTTTCCAGCAGTTCAAGCAGAGACAATTCATTCCTGGAGGTTTGCTCAGAGCCCCTTTTCCCTTTCAGGCTGGATATCCCTACATGGGGGCGAAGCTTAAAATACTTTTCCTCTTTAAAAGTTTCCCCTGCAGTCCTTCCCACACGTCCCTTTCCTCGGACAAATTGACAGAATCAGGGGCAGCCCATGCTCTTCAATGGCAACACCATTAAGGGTCCTTTAAGCAGATAAAATGACCACCTCCTAATGGACATTTCTAGTGGTCAATGTGCAGGTAACAAGCCTCACTGTTGGGGGCTGCTTGTGTGTATTTGGTTCCTAGTTAAATTTTCCTGGCTTTTGCTGGAGCCAGGGGAATAAAACTTTTTTTCCCCCAAGTTAAAACTTTTTATTACTTTATTAGGAATAAAACTGTATTAAGGTGATGCTTCAAAATGTTTACAAACACACCAATGTGTATTTGTGTTAATGCAAACTTCTGTGTCTATTTTCAGGTTAACATTTGCATGTTAACTGTTACAAAAGGAATTTGAATCCCTATAGGATTAAGTTTGGGGTTAGGATTAAGTTAATCGCTCTAAGGCTGCTAGGGTTTTAAAAAGTTCCCCAGTCCGTCCGTCCGTCCATCTGTCCTTCTCCCCCCACCCTTGGAGGAATTATTTCAAATGCATAAACAAAATCTTTTAGAAAAGGCTGGAAATGCATTTCAGGGGCTTCTTTTCCTGAATTCAAGGTGCTGATTTTAAAATTCCACAAGAATTAAAGGCCTCCTTAGGCTATTATTTATTTCACAATGCACAAAATAGGGTTTGCTTCCCCAGTTCAGCGGAGCCTAGAGTTCAGTCCATCACTCCTTCAGTTCTGGTTTGAATCCGAGTGGTAGTCAACCAGTTCTGACAGGTTCTGGAGAACCAGTAGTGGGAATTTTGAGTAGTTCAGAGAACTGGCAAATAGGCTGGCCCTGCCCTGGCTTCTGAACAGAAGAAGGGAGCAGGAAAGCAGGTTAGTGGGGTGGGGAGGGAATGGGGATTTTGCAGTAAACTTCCTCTGCCACGCCCACCAAGCCACGCCCACCAAGCCACACCCACAGAACCAGTAGTAAAAAAAATGGAATCCCACCACTGGTTTGAATCCATATAGAACTAGGGCTGGGTTTAGGCCAATTGTGTGCTTAGGGTTGTT